TGCTCAGATCCCTTCCGACCCTAGAAACTATGAAACTATCTCCTTCCTCACACATTTTACAATATATGCCACTCTAAAGAACTCCATGTCTTCCATATTCTCTTTATTTCTGATCTTTATTGGTGGAAAAAAATGTAAATGAGGAAATAGTTTTAAGGGAATTTTAGAGAAATAACTTTTCACTGTTTTGTCAAGAGCTACCTAACATCAAATGTCTTTATGAACAGCCAGTTTTGGCAGAGTTTTCACACATTGCAACTTTCTGAAACATTCTCCTTTGGGGCTGAAATTTTCCACTTAGGACACTGTCTTTTGAAAGTGTGGTCAAAATTCCTTCATTCCTTTTTCTAAGCCATAGAATGGTTAAAGCACACTGTGTGGGGAAAAGAGTTATGCAACTCTTTATAGCTTTAAAAAGAACACTATTTTGTGTCTTTTCATATGTGAAAAAAAGGACTTATTTTAATACATCTTTTTAATACTTGTGGCTTAGGAGACAGATATTTGCAAGCTGCTTGCAACAGGTGTCACTGAAAATCAGATTAATTTTAAAATAACTGGTACTCATTCCAAAATTCTAACACTGTTCCTTAGTATATCAAGAAAGAGCATAAATGTGACAATTCTGTAAAATTTCAGGGTGGGAGGTGAGGGGGAGAGAGGGGTTGTCACTTTGCAACACTGTTCCTAACCTCTCCCCTAATTTATTGATATTTGTTTTTGGGAATGTAATGTCACTTACCTTAAACTGTTTTTACTTTCTTCATTGGTGTTTATACTTTTGGTGCATTTATAGACAGCAATCATATGTCCCTTTCTCCCCCACACACCTTTATTTTGCTAGGTTAAACAAGTGAAACTCTTTTAGACTCCTTGTATATGATAGGCTCAGATCATTCACAAAACAGCCCTTCTTTACACCTGTTCCAGTTTGATTTCATCATTCTTGCATAACTAAATAGCAATCAGTATTTTAGAGAAGGGCTAACCAGAGATTTTTCACAAGGTACTAATACAG